CAAACCATCCTTCGATGGCCTGTATAAGCAATTCCGGTTGATTAGCTTCGTAGAGAGTACGATGTTTGAGTCGACTTACGCTTGCCCTTTGTCTATGAGCGGGATGTGTCGACAAGATCTGAGGCGGTTGACGCTTGTCTTGTTTTTCAAAGGATTGCCAAAATCTAGGTCATAAATTTAGTTATAGTTGCATTAGGATAGCTTTTGACCGTACTTTACGACAGCATTTGGCTCGAAGCAGGCTTTTGACATCAACCGTAAACCGACAAGGTCTGCCTCCAGTTCTTGCATACGAGAGTTGGGAAGCCCAATGAAGAACTGAAGGGCGAGTGCTCCTAGATTCGTATTGGTACCGAGGATGACTTGCAAGGCGATATCCATCACGACGATCAGTCGGGTCAATGAGACCTTTTCTAGCGAGTGTCCAACCACTAAAAGCAATCAGCAAATGAAATCATTGATGGACCTATGCTTACATTGATGGGCCACCTCTGAAAGGGCGATGAGCGCTGGAAAGTCCGCAGGAGACGGGGATACTCACCGTGCGCTAATATTCCGGCCAGCTGATCCTCGTCCTCAACATGCTTTAGCATCCCAGAGAATACCACAATCTTTCTTCCTGGCTTATTATGTTAGTGGTGATGATGACGCGAGTGATTAGGTAAGGACTTTACCTGGGATGACGAATGCGTTCGGGATGTCTTGGTCGACCACGTATACGAGCCACTCGTCCTCTTTTTGATCAGTTTTTGATGAGGTTGGTCGACTAACGACGTGACCCAAACCATTTTTTGCGATCAATTTCTCAGCGACGGCCTGTACCCATTTTGTCGCAGGATGAGATGCCGGCACTATTTGTTGTCCAATTTCTTGCATGAGTTGTTCATAACTCTGCTCTTCCAGCTAAATTCATAATAGCCGTTAGTGGTTTATCATGAAGGAAAAGGCACGCTTACCATTTTACGCATTCTCTGGTTGACGTCCATGTATCTCCATCTTTTTGTCTCTGGAACTTGTTCTAGACTGATAATGATATTTTAGAGCTCTGCAATGGTGCGAAATTAGTATACGCACTGGGTGATGTACCAGATTGTTCCACCTCCGGCTAAAAGGGCTCCTGTTCCATAAAGTCTAAACGCTTCAAACTTTCTTCGGTAGTCTCTATCAATTGGGTCTTCTTCTGGGTTTGGCTTTTTATACTCGTCGTCGTCCTCAAACCGCGAATAACGGGCATAACTTCTTGTACTTTGCGCCGACGACCGTATTACGGCTCGGCAAGGAAAAACCGTTCTGTAGGGTTTTACAGAAGTCAATTCACGTCGCAAAATTTGTCGTTGTATGCCTATTCGCCAACTCATGAGGGACGCGTATATGGCAGAGGGTTTGAAAGCGAGTTGTGACGAGAGTGGCACTGCCACCTGAGGTTCCAAGTCACTCCTGTCCACAATCAAGTAGCACAATAAACATCTTGTTTTTCCCCCCAGTTAACATAGCGTATAACGCCCGCCACTTCATATTCTGGTGTTTGGCGGTGGCAACCTACCAACAGAGCTCATAGTTGCGGTTCATCCCACTCATATCAACAATGCAAATGTTCAAGCTCCCAACTGGATTCATCTCGAGAAAACCAGTTACGTCATTGCTCGGAAGTTCAATCAGGCGAACCAGGACATACAATCAGGTCTCTCCCTTCTATGCACGACACTTAGCCACAGATGAGGCTAAGCCAGCTCTACATACCTTTATTATCTGGGCACCAGACTATACTGATGATGATGCTTTCAACCGACGGATGGCTGTAAGGGGTCAACATATGGTCGGTGCCATGGAGGCCGTGAAAGAGGGCATATTCACTCGTAAGTTTCTTACAGACGGGAGCTGGATGTCATGAATTGAGCCTTCCGTTATAGGTGTCATTGGACCATACCTAACCACAGAATCCATCGCCACACCCGACGCACCTAAAAAGATACTCGGCTCGATGCTGCTTGTTCGCGGTTGGTGATGCTGTAATAGCAAGCTTGTCTACTTTAGTAATCTCTTCCATTAGCCGCATCAATCGAAGAGGTCAAGGCAAGAGTCGAGAAGGACGTCTACTGTACAGCTAACGTGGTGAGTACTCGCCACTGGATAGTGTATACGAGGCGTAATGACTCAATTCTTCTAGTGGGATAAGGAAAAGATCGTCATAGCACCGTATATGACATCTATGGTGTGGGGACATGACACTGTTCCATGATCCCGTCGTTGGTCATTGAACAAGACTATTTTAACTGTAACCAATCCCTCTTGTTTGAAGTCAACATGACACTCACCTCTCTACAGGTTTCATACCAGAGTTCAAGTCGCATTTGATTGCTCACGATGCTTAAATAAACACTCAATCAAAATCTGTAACATAAACCTGATGGTCAGATTCGTTCTGTAGGATTGTAAATAGGTCAAATCGGAGCATAACACCCATCCTGTAATGCACTTTTGAGGAGTTACAAAGGAGGTGTGTACCTCCACGGGTCAAAAGTCTAGAACAAATTTCATTTGCTTCGACCAGTTGAAATATAAATGTCTTATATCCTTATTGCTAGTATCATGAGATAATGTTGATATTTGTGTATTACGGTTCGCTGACACGGGGAAATATAGGCGGTCCGGCGGGTCCGTGTGCTCACGCACCTTGAACCACAATGAGCACCACTGAAACGACTGAGACTAAGCCAACTGAGCATATTTTCGTCATATGGGCCCCAGATTATACGGACGATGATGCCATCAACCGACGTTTGGCGGTTAGAGAGCAGCATCTAGCCATGTCGAAGGAGAACCAGAAGTCTGGTTATGTAACCCGTATGTCACCCCTTCATTAGGTCCCTCTGTTGTATCGATATGAATCTTATCCTTCAATAATGTATTCCACAGGCGTCAATGGACCATTCCTCTCTGCAGAATCCATTGCCACCCCCGACGCACCAAAGAAAATGGTCGGCTCGATGCTGCTCGTGCGCGGTTAGTAGTACTCTTGATCGGGTGCTTTTACATGAATAATGAACTGTATTAGGGACATCGATCGAGGAAGTAAGAGCTAAAGTGGAGAAGGATGTGTATTGGACAGGCAATGTGGTGAGGATGTGCCCCAGAAATGATGTCGAATATAAAGCTGAATTCTCTTAGTGGGACAAGGAAAAGCTTGTCATAGCCCCATTTTTGACATCCGCAGAGTACGTGGTAGCATCCTTTAACCCTCATTTTTTGACCGACCTTTCGAAACCTCTAGGCTGTAGTCAAATAAATTTGCATAGATTGAGTATGAGTGATGAAATATAGCTGGAAAATACTTTTGTAGGATCGTGAGAGATAATGTAATGGCTGGGTGAAGCAATGCTAGTAAAGAGAGTAAACTTGGACTCCGCCACAGATGGCCCTTATCACCATTTCTGGGTACCCTTCTTCGGGAAAGTCAAGGAGAGCTTTACAAATCAAAGATGATTTCGAAGAAAGGATTAAAAGTCCTAGCTATTCCGGACCCATCAATAAAGTGATGGTGATCTCCGATGACTCGCTCGGACTCTCACGAGATGGATATAATGGTTGGTTATCTTAAGCAAAGTAGATATAGATAAGGCACTATGTCTGATATATTCATTAGATTCAAGAGCAGAGAAGCCACAAAGGAGTGCTCTGTTCACGGCATTGCAAAGAAATCTCACCAAAGACACTATCGTTATTCTCGATGCCTTGAACTATATCAAAGGATTCAGGTATCAAATGTATTGTGTCGCGCGTGAGGCGAGCGCTCGGGTAGCCACTGTGCGTTCCTCAGACACTTTCTCAAGGATGCCCAATTTCTCATACAGACGCAGTAGGTATTTGTCGCAGCAACGCCAGATGTATGCCGTTCTTGGCACCAGGAGAAACCAGATAGCGAACGCTACAAGGAGGAAACGTGAGTGTTTACATGCTGCGAGAAGGCACAGCATTGATCATTGGCACTAGCTTCGAGAATCTCATCCAAAGATATGAGGAACCATCTTCGATGGTAAGATGGGATTCTCCTCTCTTCACTGTACCCTGGAACGAAGACCATTTGCCCGTGGAGGAGATTTGGCAGGCTATTACAGCTGGAGTGTTAAAACCTCCAAACGCTGGGACAACAAGTGTGAGCCAACACCTATACAGTAAATAATTTGGACTTATTTGTTGCTTAGGCTCCCAAGCCTCCATCGAGCGCACTTCAAGCGCTGGAGACGACCACAGCCTCAGCTATATCTAAAATTGTATCGGTTCAAGAGTCAAAGGGGAGTCGCTAAGTCTTATTTGTCCGACGCCTCTCGCAGTATGACCATGATTTCAGCAAGCGTACGGCAGCCGAACGCAGGTTGGCTGGGTTGTGCCCTCTTCAAGGAAATGATTATCCTCAATATTTTCAAAAATATACTGTTATTTTTTGTGCAAATCTCGTGACGGTATGTACACATCGATGCGAGTGGCGGCACCTGCGCCGGAGTTTCGTGTGGGCCTAGGTAATGTCATGATCATCCATGGCGCCTGTCACTGTTATGCGGACTAATCAAACTCCAGATGCTAATCGCTCCCCTAGATAATCCGCAAATTTCGCGGCGATACCGTCTTCGCTCCAATC